TAATAATACAAGAAGAATCTATCAGTTTGCACCAGTGCATACACGGTGACTTTTCTCTGAAAAGGTAAACACTTTTCAACACATCTGATGCAATTTGCTGAGTAGAAAGAAAAAAYCAAGTGCAGTTTTGCACACATTTTATAAACTACTATAATATGAAATGCTGAAATGAGGCGTTTCAATCAGTTTGCACATCAAGCTGCTGCCCCCATGACCCGACTCCAGAACAAGCAGATAATAGATGGTTGTGAACATAAGCGATGGATCTCCTCATCAAAGCTATTGTTGCTTCTTCTTCTTCTTTTTTCCCTTTTTTTTTTGTTTTTTTACATAGACATGGTATTTTCATAGCTGCTGATGTATAAAGCAGAAAACATCCCTGAAACCAGCTCCACTGGGAGCGCCTGTCACCGAACAAAACAAAACATTTTCATCTTATTGTTCAGCCGCTTTCTCTTCTTAGGCAACTTTAATTACAGCCAGCTGTTTTCCCCGCACTTCCCGTCATCACACATTTGACACTCATCTCTCTTCATATCACCCACGTATAAGAGACTAAGCAGCAGCGGACATGTACCTGCATATTTATAACACATTACAACAGCACAAAACAAATGATGCTCTTTCTACGGCTGCAATCTGCAAACAAACAGTGCTGCCTTTACGGGAAGGAGAAAAGGTACAACATGTATCTGGACGCAGGAGAGGAGTGGACAAACACAATCTACTTGGGAATGTTAATAATCTTCCAACCCTGAATAAAAATAAAAACATCCACTCTGTCAGCTACATCTTATATGCATGTAAGACGCAGTAATGAACTCTAACAGGGCTCTCAATTCTGTTAAAGGAGACATCCTGCTTTTTTTTTTTTCACATTTAAATCCTTCAGTGCAATGCTTTGGTCTCAATTCTTCTTTARTGTAACTCCACAAGCCCCTTTTTTCTGAGGTGTGTCTCAGATCAACTTGTTTTGAGGCTGTCTCTTTAGCTCCAAATGAGGCATTTCATGCCCCGCCCCCCTGCAGCTTCCAGAGCGGTCCATTCTAGTTTTATAGAAGGGTTTATGACTATATAGCTATATCTATATATGACTATATATTGGTGGACTACTACCCTTTAACTCAAAGCAACTCATACAAGAATACGGCATCACTCAGTGCTCTCGTCCTCTGCCGGGGTCCGAGCGCCAAACTCTGATGCCATTCATGTCAATAACCATGTCGGTCCAGTCATGTCAATAAACCTCCTAATTTCAGTTTGTCTTCATGTGAGTCTTTCCAGGTTGAATTTACAAATTAATTAAAAGATGTCAACAAGGGAAGACTTGTCCATCCAGCCTTACATGTTGGAGCTAGAGTCTGACACAGAGCCAGYGGAGAACAYAGACCACCAAATTAAATGTGYTAAGTCCAGARCTTATTTGGAATTTCCATTGCAAATAGAAAACATCAGAATAAAGAAAACTAAATGAGTTGGAAAAATGTGACCCATTATAAAGATATCTAAGCAGAGAGACTAAATTAAACTTTGAGACTCCAAGTACACAACAAAATGCTTTAACAGCTAAAAAAGTGAATTTTGCATGATATGTCACCTTTAAAGTCCAGAAGAATGGAATAAATGTGAGGAAAAAGAAAGTGTTTCTATAATTTACCATCATAAAGTGCACAAAACACCATATCCTTACCAGAAACCACTCCTGGCAGGACGCTCCCTTTTCCTCCTTTAGGTTTTGCCTCAATTAGACGACACTTCCAAGAACGATCAACTCCTCCTCAGAGAATCCCCTCATTATGGTCAGCTGTGGTGATGATGGACATTGGAGGAGGAATAATGGGAAAACATGGAGTCTGTTTGTGCTGTGGTTAAAAAAGTTAATGATACAAGAACGATAAAAAAAGAATAAAGGCCAAGTGACTTTGGTGCCAGAATGGGGTTAAAAATTAATCAGATGTCACTCCATGAGGGGGGGATGCCAATTTTATTTTTGTGTGTGCTCGTTTCCTGGAAAGAGACAGCAGGAGAGAGCTTGTGAGTGTCTCAACACTGTGGGGGAGTCATCCTGAATATTATGCACAACAACAGCGACAGAAAGGGAAAAAAACTGTCTGATCTGATCAACTTTCTGAAACAGCATCGCCAAAATGAGCCCCCCAGAGTTCCTGTCACAGTCTGTGAATTCTGTGTAGATTTATTTTTTTCAGTTTTCACTTTGTTTCCATTTTTTTTCTTTCTGCTCTCACCCCACACCTGGTTTATGTTTGTCTTTATTTCCTCGCTATAAATAGTCCCAGTTTTTACTTCTTCCCTGCCCAATCTTAGTCACTGAAGTCCTGCATTATTTTAATGTTTATTTTATTACTGTGCATCTAATGACTATTCATATATGAGTGTTTTATTTTACTAATCACGCTCCCAAATGTAATAACACCATGACACTTCACATAACAACAAGTACCAATTGTCCCTCTGGAGAGGTGGGAGCCAGGGATTGAGTTGCTAATCTAAATTGAAGGATGAGTGCTGCTGAGCTGACGCTGTGAKACTGGGAGGGCTTATTTTCTGTGCAATGAGGACAAGGT